GAAGCATAGCGTTGCATGATGGTATTATATTACCTTGTTGACCATGTGGTATTTGCTTCTTGAAGCCTAATACATTATAGTGAGCCATAGTTACTACGGGAAGAGAAAGTCCTGCTAAAACATAATTTTTAATGCGCAATGCCTTGGGTATTGAATTTGAAAGATACAGACAATCCTGGACAAAACCATCTGCGACACTCTATTAAAACATTCCTTTGTGGCTTTTTTTACCAGTTAGACCGGAATAATTTACTCGTTTGCCCCCCTCCGCCCCCCAAAACAATGTTGGACGTTTTATCCGTATTCTACGAATCCAATCAACATTGAATGGTGGGGGAAAGGGGGAGGTTTTCTAAATTTACGATAACATTACGATATTTTGTCCAGTATAATTGGAAGTGTCGCAGATGTTTTGTCCAGGATTGTCTGAAATGAGTCGAAATTACATTCTTTTATATTTCGCTTGTTATACACGTCCTTGCCATGTATTTTGTTTATGCGCATTGCTCATGACCTACTTATATTCATAATTACATCAAGTACCTTATTTCATTAATTAAATACGTCATGAATACCTTAGTGTTTTGGAGGGGGTAATAATGTGTGGTAGAATAAACGATACGGTATATTATTTTTAATTTAAGCAATTAAAAGCAACGAAATGTTGCGGAAATAATTGAAAAAGTAAAACTATCGCGTTCTAGTCGATTCGTTGCAATAATTCAGAAATTAAGAAATATATATGAGTCATATTTGTTAACTGTATATATATATATATATAAGACCTGCAAGACACAATAGACAACCTATAGTCGACCATGTGAGAAGGTGCCTAGACGGACATGCAAACGATCAGTGAATGAGATGCAATGTACGACACAAAAAATATATTTTCATGAGAGTTCGTGCAACTTATATATTGATAGGTTATACATTCAGTCTATACATAGACGAATGCGTGTTGTATCCAGTAGAACTAAAGGACAATAAATTCAATATAGTTACCGCGTTTCTGGTATTTACGGCATATTATATTTAGAATATTAAGCGACAACTATTTAATTGTGAATTATGCTTTTTGACACAAGTTTTCCTGGTGTGGTAAATCAATTCTCATATTTTTCCAATGTCATACCTAACGGTGTACCACTGACCAATACACTAAGACTGTGATAATATCCTCAGTTATGGGATATAATACAGGCCAATGAAATGGACTTGAAAGAACGTGTGTTGCTTAGTATTCCAACCTACTTCAGACAATATTTAGCGCGATAATTTTAAAATACTTCACGGTGTACCATTTTCACCCTACAAAAGGTTATATATATATATATTCTTATATGTTGACGGTGTACCATGGTACACCGTCAATGCGCATGCGCAATTATACGACAATAACAAAATCGGATTAGTCATTTAGTGCTGCGGTCACGCAATATATTTCCACTCAACAGCTAAGCGTTAGTCTGTCTAACAACACAAATAAGTATGGATAAACGCATTTTAGAATATTCTTAGTGCAAAATAGTTGGTATATACACTATGAGGTACATTGACTTGCTCTCCGACGTATATTAAACGCGCGCAAGTCGTCGCATATGATTCTTAATCGCATTCTATACAAGCTATCGAAGCATAGCGTTGCATGAGGGTATTATATTACCTTGTTGACCATGTGGTATTTGCTTCTTGAAGCCTAATACATTATAGTGAGCCATAGTTACTACGGGAAGAGAAAGTCCTGCTAAAACATAATTTTTAATGCGCAATGCCTTGGTTATTGAATTTGAAAGATACAGACAATCCTGGACAAAACCATCTGCGACACTCTATTAAAACATTCCTTTGTGGCTTTTTTCACCAGTTAGACCGGAATAATTTCCTCGTTTGTCCCCCTCCGCCCCCCAAAACAATGTTGGACGTTTTATTCGTATTCTACGAATCCAATCAACATTGAATGGTGGGGGAAAGGGGGAGGTTTTCTAAATTTACGATAACATTACGATATTTTGTCAAGTATAATTGGAAGTGTCGCAGATGTTTTGTCCAGGATTGTAGGTGGACAGTTCGGTTCCAGCCCAGAAGAAGTGTTCAACCCAAAGAAGCGTTGGCGATGTATCCAACAATGGACCATTTGCATTATAGACTAAATTTTGATCTAGACAAAAATTTCATCACAGCTTGAAAGAGCATCACAAAATTAGTAATATTCCAAAGTTTAGTTGCGAAATGTTGTAAAATGCGGATAATAAAGCCTTGCGAAGTTTGCAATTTTCAGTCATTTTAGATTACAAACGGGAAATTGACTGCCCAATACCCTTTGGTTGTGTCATGAAGACCTACCGAGGCACTGATGACCTCATAAGAGTGGTGAAGGTTCGAGTTGGAGACCACGAATACATCCGACCGGTACACAGATTGTGCCCGTTAGAGAGACAATGATTAGGGGAACAATGTTTACAAACTTTAATGTTTCTAGTGTTTATGAATGTTGTTACATTCAGGAGGGGGATGTTTTGGAATGTTGACATTTTTACAACCCTCAAAATTCGCCTCAGCGCTCGGCAATTGCCGACGCAAATGCCGAGGCAAGTTACGATTTTTCATAGTTTGCCTCGGCAAAAAAATGCCGAGGCAATTCCACCCATTGTACCTTAAATTACAAACTACAGAGTCTGTTCGTTTTTTGCTTAAATTTACAAACTACGGTGTTCGTTTTTTGTATCACTTCTTTGTTCGAATTGTTGTCATCGACGTTGGGTGAACAACAGAAGATTTCATTCATAGCTACTTTACAAAATATTTAAATTTAAGCTTTTCAGCGTCGGCTTCGGCTGAAATAAAGAACAATCTTGATGGTTTAAAGACGGCACGTCCAGAAACTTTGTTTTATCTTTTAGACTGTCGCGTGATTACCGTCAAGTTTATTCTTTCATATACTATTTGTTGTTAATTACCACTACCTTTTTAAAAAATATTTTGAATCAGGAATTTGTAAAATAACAACAAATTGTCAAAGTCAGAATCTATGCTCGTTATAATATTTGTTTTCAATAATTTCCATACTTTAATTAATTAACAACTGCCGACGTGAATGCCGAAGTAATTGCCGAAGGAATCTAATGTGATTTCATTGTGATTTCATTCACTCGAAAATTATCGAAAGACTTCGGCAATTATTTGCCGAGGCAAAAATAGTTGAATTTCGAGGGTTGTTATAAGTAAATTAGCCTTACCCCTCCCCCCGTTAGGACAGAAAAAAAGACTGGACCTGAGTGATCGCGCGGGGGAAAATTAAGCGTGAAAATTATTGTAATTGTTTTCGAAGTTGTGATAAAATACAGCGTATAAAATGGTATTTTTATTGTCTGAAACCACTCAAAGAACTGGTGATAGTGATATTCTGATCTTTTTTTGTATTCGACGAGTTCCATATGGGAACAAACTAGGTATGGAGTTATTTTATTCAAATATTCAACTATGGAGTTATTTTATTCAAATATTCTCAACTTCTTCTTGGTGAATATTCCCCGATAATCACTAGCTCGTGTTTGCCTTCAGCGAATAATTGTTAAATGAAAAGTGCAGGGGGGTGCGCACCCCCCAAAATTTTCTAGCACCCCCCCAGAAAAATTTGGAAATGGCGTGCATACTGTAGGTTATTATTATTATAACCTTTATTTAAAGAAAATTATACATTTAGCAGTAAGAGTACAACTTACTGATAACTTCAACAAATGCAATTATATCATATGTTATACTAAGACAAGTATTTTTAATTTATAAAACTAAATATACTACGTAAAAATGTCTAAAGATTAAATATCCAAACGCATATTCAATTTTAATAAAAAGACCAGATAAAAAGCTACAACTAAACTAAACTTTCGTGAAAAAAAAATTAGGTAGAATACTAAGCCTAAAAATTCAGTTAAAAGGCCAAGTATAATACTGTAAATCTAAGCTATGAGCGCAAGTCTAATTTTGGCGTGTGAAACGGCTGAATCAAAACCAAGAAACAGTGGCAGAAGACGAACAAAGTCAAAGTGAATTTCCAGATCGTTGGTGAGGTTCTGACCAACTTTTAATTTTAAAAGTGTATGAACCGGAGAGAGACAATAAAATATGAAAACTTTGTGCTTCGACTTTCTGTTGTTTTGTGAAACACCAGAAATCAGAAGTTCATAAAAATTGCTACGAGAAATGGAAGGCAAAGGTCCGAATATCAGATGGACAAGATACAAGTATACTCGCGAAACTGGTTCCCGACCAAGCGAAAACAACTCAAAACAACAGAGAGTACTTTAATTTAAACTTCTGTTCCAGTATGTAATTTGGTTTGCAATGAACGAAATAACATTCCGGGACCATGACGAGGCGGCTGATTCGAAGAAACCAGGTAACTGGACAACTTTTATGAAGATGCAACTGAAGACCAACAAGGAGTTTCGAAGTCTCCACCAAGCGATAACAGATAATTAAAAGGCTTCTTGTGGACTACACTAGTAAAACGTCTCTCAATGAAATGCTGTCTATACTGGCGGTTCAGATATGGAACCAGATAAGCCATCAAATCGCTACTGCTGAGTGCTTCAGTGCACTGATCGACGAAAGCAAAGACAAGGGCAAGAGAGAAGAGCTTGCTTTCTCTGTTTGCTACTACACTACAAGATCAGACAAGAGTAAGAATCACTCCACAGAAAAATTTGTCCTAGCAAACAAGTTAAACATATTATGCAGCAAATCGATGTTCATTGGGGATGCAAATACGAAGCCTATTAAGTGATCTTTTATGCATTTCGTTAAACAGAGATGTTGTTGATTTGCTGGATTTGGACGAAGTCGTATATAACAGCATGGGGAAACATGCGCAATAGGTGGTCTAAAATCTAAGTAATTAACTGACTAACTAGTCTACCTGTATAAAATGTATAATGTACTTATTACTAAATTGAAAACTTAAAAAAACTGTTCATTATTTAATTTATTTATTAAAAACTTTGTTAGTTTGTTACTATAATACTATACGATTTTCATGAATTTGAAATATTCTCAGGAAGCTACGGAAAAGCTACTGTATACGACTATATTATTTTGGTTTATACTACTATTCATTAATAATTATTAAATAAAGAATAATAATACTTTGCAAATATACTGTGTGCATTAATTTAACAAGCTACTAAAGTATCCTAGCTCAGGGACTTAAATGCTTGATCAGTTGATCACATGGGAGGGGTCACAAAACAGGGATCATGGCAATATGCCTAAAAATATACACAACAGCCCGGTCAGCACGGTAGCGGCAGCACACCAATGCACACACCCCCCCCCCCCCCGGGAAATCTGCACCCCTCCTGTCAGATCAGCATTGATCCGCCCCTGAATTATTTTGTGCAATGGATTTATTTCTGTTGTTTATAGTAAGATAATTTACTATAAGAATATACAGCAGTGGGGCCATTTCAACCAATCCAAATGGGGCCATTTTGAAATGGGGCCATTTTGACCAACCACCGACTAAATGACATAAACATTTGAATCTGCATACTTAATGAGCTACATAGTAAATCGCTTCATAGCAAAGTCAGATGAACTTTGTACGCATTTTTAAACGTTTAACGCATTTTTAGTGAATACATATATTTTCTGGGTTGCCTATGGTATAAAACACCGTAACAGTCTAACAGACAGTCTGGCCCTGGCTGGGTGAGTTGGCCAATTGGGATTGGTGGGCTGATATAGACTTTGATATTTGGCACTTTCAACTTACCCTTGTTTCAAAAATGAAATAAACGACTCTACTGCTTCATTAATTTCTGTATCAGTTCCTGTTTGAGGCATAGTTTACATTATGTTTTTAACAAAATTGATCAAAGTTCACATTCACAACTGGCGTGGCAGCCATGTTGAGTTACTGAGCCCGCAGACCCAGGTCACCAAGAGATACCCGATGGTTACTTCAAGTAATAAACTTTTGAAAGCCTTCCTCAACCAAAAGTTCAAGGTTTGGGAAAACGTCAAAATTTATTCAGTCGTTTTAAATTTTCTTTTGAGAATTAAAGTTTAATAGCTCATGGGCTCAAAACGTCGAAAAAATGAAAACATTCTGAACAAATGTGTATTGAGACAGGTGACATAAAATCACTTTTTGTATTTTTAATAGTTTTTACATCTACAGTATTCATATATAATCATATAAAGTTTATTTAAAGCTCTTAAAATTGTACAACAGCAGGTTCCCACTAGAATTTTGAGTAGGAGGCGTTTTAAAGGAAATATATGGTGCTGAAGGTACCACTCACCAAAGTGGAGAGGGGGGTGTCTCCCTGTGAGATTTTGAAAATTAGACCCACATCACCACAATGACTCTATGACCACATGTAAAAATATTATGTTACACCATAGGCAGCCCAAAACTGTGTGTAGAATGCACAAAATGCTTCCAAATGTCAATTTATATTAAGCTCGCCCCATTCCTCTATCATTTGTCGCGTGCCGCAAGCACTCATATGAACAATGCTTTTCATTGAGTGCTTGTGGCGCATGATAAATGACAGAGGAATGGGGCAAGCTTAATATAAATTGACATGATTGACATTTGGAAGCATTTGATGCATTCTACATGCAGTTTTGGCTGCCTATGGTTGCACGCGTAAAAATTGAGAAAATCAACAACTTGTTCCAGGTTGATATCAACAGGCGTGAACAAGGTTGTGCGGCCCACCATGAACAGTATTGTCAACATGTTGTTGCAGCATTGTTCAACTGTAACAAAGTTCTTGGAACAACATGGTTGACAACTTGTTCATAGTTGGCCGCACAACATTGTTCCCGCCTGTCGATATCAACTTGGAACAACCTGTGCGTTTTTAGCCGTGTAGGCCACATAAAAAAACGAAGTGGCTATTTGTACTGGAACAGCATGCCGAGTTTGATTTGCTATTCGTACTGCAGTCGGAATATTTAAGATAAACAGATCCCAAACCAGTGATGTTTTCCAGGGGGAACGCGGGGGAACGCCGTCCCCCCCACCTTTTTTTACCAGGGGAACGGCGTCCCCCTTGCCAAAATCAAACATGGGGGAACACCGTTCCCCCTGGCAGGGATTAAATATTAGCGAAGTTCAGTGAACGCCGTTCGACACCGTCCAAATAATTTTGGCTATCACTTGTTTTACATACGTGTTATTTGCCGAAATTTCTAGCAGACTAGTACAAAATAATAGTCTAGAGTCTTATGATTGACGTCCACTTAGACAATTCACAATCAATTGTCATCAGCACGGAGATAACGTCAGGCAGCAGCCCAGCAGGATATAATTTGGATTACCTTATGCATGGAGTTAGCAGAACATGATACCTGAAAAACACGTAGCTTGCGCGCGGTAGATGTCAAAAAGCAAATAAAACCACGTTAACTTTCCAATTTCGATGATGCATTAGTGCTATGTGAGTCAACCAACTCGGCAAATAGGCAACTTTGCAAGTTAAATATGACGTTTTCACGAGTAACTAAATAAGCTTGGATAATAGATATCCTTGAATCTTTCCCATTCATGTTAATGTTCGTATTGAATCATTTTATGTTCCCATTGATGATTTTAATATTTAATTTCGCGATTGCGTGAAAAACTATACTAATTTATAAAAATCAAGCCTAAGCCAGAAATTGTAAAATGGGTTGTTGACCATTGTAGTTAATAAGAGATATGATTTCTAAAAGATCTAAAATCATTGAATTCTTTACTGAAAAATGTGTGGAAGACTCAATTTCAGAAGTTGAAACTGGCTTCGTAGCCATCCGTTAACCGTCATCCACAGCAATGTGACATATTTTGACAAGCTTGCCTATTAGACTAAAGTCACTAAATCCCCGCTTGTTTAATTTCATGGCCAATGGCCACGCCCAATCGAATGACCACGCCCATTTGATTTTCAAGAGCGTCCCCCCTCTTCTAAAATTAGCAAAACATCGCTGCCCCAAACCCTTCTCTAACCTTAACCAATAAATGTCTAATAAACTATTTGAGAGTTAAAAAAGTCGGGAAAAAATTTTTTTTAATACTTCAAGAAAAATTTCTAAGTCAAACAGAAAACCGACAGCTAAAACTAAACCGAACCCGACCTTGTTTCGCTTTGCACACAGGCAACGCCTTTGCAAGCTCACTGAAAGCTGTTGCAAAAAACTATTTTATAGTACTAGTTTACGAAATGTAAGAATCAGGTGCCACACTCCAGTACGAATAGCAACTTCGTAAAAAAAAATAGTTGGTTAGCATCCTCGCCTAGCCTCCTCCGCAGGCATCTCACCCGACGAATCGGCAAAACCCATTCGCAGGCTAGAACCCATAGAGAGGCCTGCGGAGGAGGCTAATCCTCGCCCACCCACAAATTTTTTTATTTTTTAATTTTATTTAAAAAAAACAACAACTTTTATTGATCAACGGGCTCTAATATATGTAGTATGTCTGTAGTCAATTGTGTTAATAAATTTAAATGTGCAAGTTATTAACTTCCAATATAGTAAATCTTTAAATAAAATACTGTATCTGCAAAAATGATGGTATGAATCATATTTTGAAGTATATAAAAAATGTACTGTGCAAGAAAATACAGTTTCGGACCTAAAACTAAGGCATTAAAAATTAGTATAAATTTAAAAAACCCGCCCACTTTTTGGCAAAAGCTAAGGACGCTAACCAACTATTTTTTTATGTGGCCTTATAGAAGGCAACCTTTCCCTTCGTATTTTTTTGAAATATTTTGGATTGTAATTTCAGGAAATAACCTGAAAAATCACCAGGTGCCGGCTTCCCAGTGTGGAAAGTTTGTATTGTGCAACCAAGATATTGGGCATGCCACTATTTTGATGCTTTCTTAGTTATATATTTACTATTAAATTTTTAAATCTCGGGTGTGCAATTTTTTCTTGCTTCTACTGGCAATCCTGACAGCAGCTTTGTAGAAAGTTGCATTATTTACTATAAATATTTTTTTATTGATTTCTCTAACTCAATTTTGAATATACACATTCATTCAATTGTTTTGCTGTTGCAAACCTTAACCTTAAGTGAGTGTGATGGCATTTGCAACAGTATTGTGGCATTGCCAAATGCTGTAAGAACTTTTCTAATTTCCAGCACTGAACATTATGACTCAACTGTTGAATAGAAATTCTGTTGTAATTACATGTGTGTAATTACATATAGTACAACTGATCTTGAAAAGATAGTTGGATGAACCATGCTAGCCTGCTTCCAATGATAAATACTGCTGTGTACTTCGGCTGGAGTTCTAGCATTTTTGGTCAACTGGAGTTGCAATGCTTTTTCCATGCAGCTCCGGCTGGAAAGTCAATGACAAGAAATGTGACAATTTTGTAGAATTATAGTGTTGGTTACAAATAATGGAGACATTGAATTTGCTGAAAGTGTACTGTACATATAATCTGAAGTCAATTATCTGTCAATTTATCAAGCATTGCAAAAAGTACTGTAGATAATTACTTCTGATATTGCCAATGATTGCACTAAATATTTCAGTATTGCAACATACATGTGAGGGGTTGTTCCTAATTAAGACAGCTGGCTCACCATTGTGGTGATCCTGTCTCACATGTTGTTCTAATGTATTCACATACAAGTCAGGCTAACATACTGTACATAGCTTGTTTGCAGGATGCTGGGGGTGCCTTCCATTTAAACGGCAAACTGGTCAAGTTTTTGTTCCAAAATGTAAATAATTGTGCATGTTATAGAAACTTTCTTTGCTATTTGTACATGTATAAATGAAATAAAACTTAAAGTTTCTGCTTTAATTATTTCAATTTTATAGCTTTAAGTTACGTTTACACGCTGCAATTTATCGTGTACGATTCGTTTTCTGGCGTATGTCATTGAGTAAACACGCGAAAGCTGGCTACATTTTAAATTTCTTTTTAACGAAACGGCAATGAATTATGGCGCCAGCACTAATTTTAATACGACAGAATACGTACCCAACAAGCCGCAGCTTTAGGTATAGTGTGTAATGAAAATTATAGTTCAATAGTTTTTATTGTAGGTTCATGGAGGTACTTTCAATGCTCAGTTTCCTCGTTCATGCCTACAACCAAACCTGGATCTTACTCGTCTCTGTATTCCATTGTGTGACATCCAGAAAGATAATTCCTTTGCAGTGGGGTAATAAATATATAACTTTTATTAATACAAACCATAAATACTCTAATTAACCCACTCTTTCCTCTCTCTCTCTTTCTTTTTCTCCTCTAATGAGACTTCTTCCCTTTTTTCCCCAAAACACAACAAAAATACATATCAGTCTGATTAGAACAGTTTATGCTCATGCAGGCAGGTTGCATGGCGGCCCGGGACAAAACATTCCAAGGGGGCCATTATGATGTCAATTGTAAAAGGGGAGAAGTGATGTTTTATAATTTATACGCCGAAGGCGTGATGATTATCGGTGAAAATAAAAAATAAAAATTTCTTCGTCATTTAATTGACAAAATGGTTTCGGTCGCCATTTCGAAAATCGCTTAGCTGATTATCGCGTTTTAGTATTTTTGCACAAGTGAATATAACAAATTCTACAACCTGATTGATCAAATTTGACGTAATACTGGTGAATATAACAAAACCGAAATTTGCAAAATGGCGGCTACCCGTTTTGTGGAAGTTTACTGATAAAGAAATAAGAGAAATTAAAATAAATTCAGTCTCAAAAAACACAAAAGATTTGTGTAAAAATACTAAAACAATTATTCGCCTCAGGCTCGGTGATTATCGGGGAATATTCACCTCGACTTCCCCGATAATCACCTCGCTTTCGGCGAATAATTGTTAAATAATCACGTCAACGGCAACCAATCAGCGTGGAGAATTTTCAGTAATCACCTATATATAATTATACTAATAGTCATACATATTATCCGACACTAACGCAACTCAAGGATTTATTTCTCAGTTATAAGCAATCTTGAAGCAAGAAATTTAAAGGGCCTTCGTTGCTTTTGGGGCCCCTATTAAGCTGAGGTCCCAGGGCAAAGTGCCCCCTGCCTAAAATAAATTAACTAAAGACGTAATTAGCTAAAGACGTAAGGTAATCTCATAGTAATGGATATTTATGTCTAGTAAATCTAGTTTATACTGCACATCAATTGTTTTTAATCAGTTATCCACAATTGAATTTCCAGCTAACGTTATTTTTTCATTCACTCAGACATGTATTGCTTGGTTTCACCAAATGTGGGGAATATTTAATGTCTTACTACAAAGAATTGCAAGATGATGTTTCATTTGGCTTACCAATGTATAAATATACATTACATTGGTGGAAGTTTAATCTGAGGAGACCATTACAGCAGGTACAAAAATAGAGAATAACTTATGATTGACTGGCAGAGTATAATGTGAATATCTCCTTTTCATCGTAGGTTTGCCATGTATTGTTATTTGTTGGTGAAGTCATTACTGAAGATCTTTTATTAATTGTCTGTCATACATTGAACGACAATAGAATTCTTGTCCATGGTTATGCGTAAGTTGTAAACTTTTTAACATATTGTTATAGTTTTCAAATATGTTTATTCGTGCAATGGTAAGAATATTTTCACGAGGTGAAAGATGGAATGTTCCATTCAACGAGGCGACTGGAACATTCCATAAACATTCATTATTTGTTTTATATAATACCAAAATAGACTAATAGATTCGTATGCGATTTATTGAAAACACAAAGAGTGCAATGGAATAAAACGTATAGTACAATTGCACTCGCAAAGAGTGCAATGGAACGTATTCCATTGCACTCTTGGGAAATGGAATTTTCTATTCAATATCACGTGACCATAAACAGCCAATTAAACGATCATAATTCAATGAGGTATTATATAGTATCAGATAGACAGTTGTGGATTGATAGGGATACAACTATACCTGAAAAATACAAGAAGAACTTCGACGTTTCGAGCGAATGCCCTTCGTTGGGAAGTTAGTAGCGTGGTCGGGAAAATTGCATGAGCTTTTAAATACCATGATGCTTGTGATGTTACTCTGAGTGTATATCCACACCGGGCAAGCTTGAAAAATATGCCTGGCCACGGTGGGAATCGAACCTACGACCTTTGGAATACTAGTTAAAACGATCACGATATTAAAGCGATCACATGACAAAAATAAACAAATCAGATGTATTTAGTCAAAACAAAGTGTAAGGATGCGTTCAGACTGAGTGCCCGGCACTGGTGCCCAATGTTCAAACTGGTTCCCAAAACATGTTGAGCACAGTGGCGTTGTTGAGTACTACCTCTAGAAGTAGTGCCCTTTCTTGGGCACTGTGCCCAATTTCATTTCGAAGCATCGTGTTCAAACTATGCGCCAAAACAAGTGACGGGCACCAATGCCAGGCACCTAGTCTGAACGCAGCCTAAGTATACCGAAACAAACAACATACAGAAACACATAAATTGCACTCCCTGACCCACAACAAAAAAGGAAAATCTGTACAACAAGCAGGAAACTATACACAAGCAACTACATAACAAAAGAACAAAGAGTTAAACACGTGCAAACCAAGCTAACTAACTCATCCAGAATTGGCCGAGGTATGCCCGCGTGCGGGCGCGGCAGACAGTTTCAACGTAAAAACGCCAAACAGGACAAGACAAATAATAATAATAATAATAATTTACTACTTATATAGCGCAAATTAACATGCAATTGGTATGATCAAATGCGCTTTACAAACTACTTAAACTAGCTATAGATTTAAAAATATAAATAAATAAAATTTAGAATATTTACAAAAACAGTTACCGCTCAAGTTCTAAAATTTATGCATTAAAAGCTTCCCTGAAATAGTGTGTTTTGAGAAGTGACTTAAAAGTACTAAAATTTTCCTGACTTCTTATAAAAACAGGAAGACTGTTTCATACTATTGCTGAGGCATTAGAAAATGCCCTGTCTCCTAATGTCTTTTTCGACCGAGCAGTGTTATCTTGTAGTAACTTTCCTGTATTTGATCTAAGGTTGTAACGAGGTGTCTTCTTGATGGTCACTAAACTGCTTAGATATTCGGGAGCAGTTTTGTTTATACATTTGAATGTGAGCATTGCAATTTTAAAATTTATTCTAAATTTAACTGGTAGCCAGTGTAATCTGATTAACGACGGTGTGATATGTTCATGTTTTGGAACTGAGCACACCAAGCGGGCTGCAGCATTCTGCACTCGTTGAAGCTTCATAAGATGCGTGGACGAGACACCGAATAGTAAGCTATTACAGTAGTCTATTCTTGACATGACCATGGCCTGAACAATCGTCTTTCTGTCTTCAAAGCATAAAAATCTCTTTATTCGCCTGACATTATGTAAGTGATAAATCACAGATTGACAGGTCTTATTAATTGCCGTTTTCATACTCAAAATGTTATCAAACCAGGATCCAAGATTTCGAGCATCGGATACTGACGACACCATTACCTGACCAATTCTTAACTCCGTTATCTTTATCTTATTCAGTTGTGCACGAGTTCCAATTATAATAAATTCAGTTTTATCATCATTCAGCTTGAGTTTGTCCACGGTTATCCATGTCTTAATATCAGCTATGCAGTTTTGCAATGCAGTTACCGCTTCTAATTCACTAGCAGTAGAATCAGGCTTAAATGAGATGTACAGCTGAGTATCGTCAGCATAAGCATGGGCGTCAGGAAGGTGGTTCTTTATGACTTCAAATAGCTTGCTAGAATATACTATAAACAGTAGTGGCCCTAAACAGGAGCCCTGAGGGACACCATACATCAGAGGAAATTCCCTTGAATGGCTTCCATTTATTACTACTCGCTGTGATCTGCCAGATAAATAAGACCGAAACCATTCAAGCGCATTACCCGTTATTCCAAACGTTACTGGAAGACGACGAAGAAGGACTTGATGATCCAACGTGTCAAACGCTGAGCTCAAGTCAAGCAGTACAAGTAGAGTAACCTTCTGATTGTTCATATTTAACAAGATGTCATTGTGGACTTTCAGAAGAGCTGTTTCAGTGCTGTGACCTGTCCGATAAGCTGACTGGAGCACCGGATATAAGTCCGACCGCATTATATGATCTTGAGTTTGGTTGCAAACCACTTTTTCTGTCAATTTAGCCACAAATTGTAGGTTAGACACTGGTCGTAAATTTGGAAAAGAGACATTATAGACAGGTTTCTTTAGCCGTGGGTCGACCAGAGGAGCTTTTCACTCAGTTGGAACATATCCAAGGAACATATCCGTGGCTTAGACTTATCAATTTCATCTATCCATTAAAGATTTGTTTGATTTAGTACGTAAATTTTATTGTAATGTACTGTGATGTTTTGATTTAACGCGCCGAAATCACTATTGATAGTCAATCGCACCCCCCGGAAACAAATCCTAGAATCACACCCCCCAGTATACGTAAATTTTACATCCACGTAATATGCAGTTTATAATTTAGTATAATACAAGATATTTCTAAAAAATACCACCAATAAACAACGTCCCTAATTGTTATATCTGATTTAACCTTAGAGACAATCCTGGAAAAAATATATGAAATATATATGAAATTGAAAAAGTCTACTAATTTTTTTCCAGGATTGTAGTAACCTAAAAACCCTTGAAGCATTGATGAACTCTGAACTTGATAAGGTTAAAGAATGGTGCGATGTTAATAAGTTATCAATTAATATAAGTAAAACGAGTTATATGATTATAAAGCCCGGCAGAAAAATTTTTTTCGACGATACAAATTAAAAATAATGATGGAACGTACAAAAAATTGATCCGGAAAGATCATATTAAGTATTTGGGTATAATACTAGATGACACGATATCCTGGAGCTATCAGGCATTGGCATTTTATCCAAACTGCGACACTATCTCTCTATCAAGCAATTATCACAAATTTATTAGTGTTATTTATCCTTATATATCATATGCGATTTTGGCATGGGGCAGCGCTTGCACGTCGCTTATACAAAAAGTACAAGTGAAACAGAATCATGCAATCAGGTTAATATTTTTTGTAAAGTTATATGGTAAAGATACTCATGCAAGTGCTCTCCCATTGCTAAATTTGCTAGATATTTTAACAGTTCAAAATGTATATCGCCTACATGCCTTGAAATTTATTCATGCGGCACGAAGGTTTGTTGCCACATATTTTTGATAATTTCTTCCAATATTCAAGAGATGTTCATAGTTATAATACCAGATACTCATCTAATTTATATATATATATATATATATATATATATATATATATATATATATATATATATAAACCATATGTTCGAACCATAGATATCTCATATACACTAGATAGCGCATCTCGGAATACAAAACTGAAGCCAAAAATCTCAGCGGTTTCCCCCATGAAAATAGGCGGCGGCCATATTGGTCGTTCCCACTCATCAATGAAATTCTATATATAGAAAGTACTACACTTTTTGAGGCTTTTTTGCATTTCTGGTTTAAAAATACCTTTTTGAGGTACGTTCGCCTTGAAATCGCAGCTTTTTTGGAAAAGGGTACAAGAAAAAAACATTAATTGGCGATGTTGTTGTCTTTGAATCGCATTTTAAAGCTAAAAATTTCGAATTACGACATTCTTTATATATTTGTTTTGAATCTGTGAATGATTCTCTGGTGAAGTATCGTCTAATCAATACATGTACTTACGGTTTCTGGCACCACTGAAATGTCCTGGGAAGTTTTCTTTTGATTTTTGATTCTGTCACTTGACCTTTCACTATTACTTCTTATACTTTTTGCATCGGGAATGACTTTACCCATTGCTATGAAATTTTCTGAGTTTAATTCAAATTTTTAATTTCAATTGGCACCAAAACTTCTTCAGGTCTCCACATTTTTTTTAAAATTGGACATTTTTTTAATAATATTTACAGTAACCACTAAACTCAAAAGGCAAAAATTGAGAGTTTATCATGTTTTCAATTCCTGAGAGTACTGGCAAATTTATTTTATATTTTTAGAAAAGTTTAATTATTGTGCATCTGATGAGTCAAAGAATTAGAAAACACTGTTGCACAAAATCAAAAGTAATACTTTATTATAACAATATAATTATTTATACAATAGTGAGTGCAACTATATTTAAGATTATAAAATCTACTGTGCATCAAGCAGTTTATCCCATTGACCTTACAATATACAATAATGCAAGAAGTAATGTGTCTCATTACAAAATAGGGTTTCCCAAAGCAGTTCTAAAATTCAACTGATTATCAATGACCTATGCTGTTAATAATTACAGTAATTTAGCAGATTGATTGCTTGAATTAAAAACAAAAGGTCTAGGACTCAACAGAAAGAAATATTTCTTAACATCAAATATTAAAGATAGTTTGAAGCATTCATACAATTGAAGGTTTTAGAAAGTTTGATTATCAACTACACTTACATAAAGCAATAGCAATTATGTTATATTGCCTGCGATCGAATATATTAAGTTGCAATTATTCTTCTCTAGCTTCTATTAATACATTTTAATCTTGATGTGATTCCATGGAACTATAAAATAACATATGATATGTTGTATGTATGTAATAAATACACAAATAGTAAGGAGTACTAGTAAGAACCATTTTTTATGTCAATGTTTTATATATTGACTATTTAAGATTTTAAGTCTATTTTTGCCATTGATAAACTGTGACTAAAATATGTTTTTCAGTGTCGCTGTCTTTTACAAAAGAATATGCAAATACATTCACAATTTTGCCATGAAGCAATGGCGATAGCTCAAATTTGGAATTGGTGGAACTATATTTATATATACATCAACAATGATGGTTTGTCCATAGGGTTTGTCCTATGGGTGCCCTTCATACGGGTCGACAAATATTGTTATTTTCCCCGAGCCGACGGCGCGAAGCGCCGTGCGAGGGTACTAATTCCCCCCGGCTATTTACACCCGGGGTAACGAAAGCATTAGCGAAGTCCATTGAACTAAAAATAACTGGAACGCTACGTTCAAGCGGAAATTTGAAGCTAAATTCTACAAGGTCGTACACAGGCTTTAAAAGGCCCGTTTTAAACTGAAAAGGCCCGTTTCCCTTTCGATTTGCATCCTGCCATGAAAACGTTCAAAACGGCATGCTTCGAGCGTACCCTGCATTGTCTCGCGAGTAAATCGCGCAGTAGAAACACGCGTGGAAGTGCGTGTCTGGGAGTCAAAACTGGCGTCATTTGGCTTCATGGGAGTCAAATTTTGGCTTCAAAATTTGCATGCGCAGTTTACTGAACGTAGCGTTCCAGTTATTTTTAGTTCAATGGCGAAGTCTAAAGTTCATCAAATATCGCGGGCGTGGGTCACTGTGCGTGGGTGGTCATCCTCACTGATCTCAAAAATAATTATGGCGGACTGTCATGAATAGCGGACACTGATTGGTCCAATTTAAAGTTTGCATTATAACGACTGCATGACGACAGCGAAACAGCAAACATTTCTTGATTTTATGATTGATAAATTTTTTGCAAATATATCTTATTTTTGCTCGCATTTTTGCAAGATTTTGTAAATTTCAAGAAAGAAAAGACTAAAGAATGGGCTAAAAGAAGGGAGCCGACGTTAACAAAGGTAAGTTTGTTTTAAATATTTATTTTATAATTGTTTTAAAACCCGACGGCCTTTGAGTATATGATAAAGTACATTTCTTGCAAGTTGTATTTTAGCACGATTTTGTAAATTTCAAAACCTTTCTGAGAGCCAAAAACGTCTAAAAACGTTTAAAAGAATAGAGCAAAGTCGCCGACGTTAACGAAGGTAAGTCTGTTTTAAATAATGATGTATTTTTTGTCTTATAATTGATATATTTATAACTGATAGTGGTGGGCGATAAGGCGAATATCGAACTAAACCTATATCATTGCGTATATAAGTGAAAAAAGACAGCATATAATTTCAGTGTAGTTTTATTAATTACCTTTTCCTTTGTATATTAAAGTATTTAAATAAAGAGGAAAGCAAAGTTATTTTCATGCGAGAATTTGAAATCAGCTTATTTCAAACTCAATGTTTACCGATAATTCGATAAAAGGCCGTTTTGTTTTGAGAACATTTTAAAACGTTTTGCGAAACGTTTCTGGTTGAATTTTACATTAATTTGATGCTTATATTACGCATAATAACATACCTGGCATGCATATGTTTGGGAAATTGATAATTTTGTTATTAAAAGTGATATTTTGGGGGGATTTTTCAATTTTAAAACCATGTTTAAAACTATTCTTAAAATTATCGTGTTACCATGACAACTACTTTCAATTCTTCATAATATTCAGAAAACATAATGTTTTGTCAGTAAGGCGAGGGTTTCTGCATGCATGTATTTTCTAGTCGAAAAAAATAATTAAATTCTGCCTACCCGTTATTCACAATATGAAGCTCCAACGATCTGGCATCATTTACAACAAGTTGCACACTTGAAAAACCGAAATTGACTGCATAAAAGAGGATTTATTGTCAACTTTGTCCATTTCCGCAATACAAAATATACAAATTATCACGCTCCGTGGGAACGACCAATATGGCCGCCGCACGTAAACTGCGACTGCGATCAGGCTTCAATTTTCGCCTGCCTACAGGGAGGGATGCGCTATCTAGTGTATATGAGATATCTATGGTTCGAACTAATACTGGTAAACAGGCAATTTCTTTTGGAGCAATTGATTTTTGGAAGGATCTTCCAGATATAACTAAAAATCTACCTTTGTTTTCCTTCTTTAAGCAAGTTAAAACCTACTTATTGGCTAAACAACATACCTATTGAAATTTGCATCATCTATATGATATAAAATTATAATTATTATATATTCTTCAGCTTTTCTATTAACAAAATCTAATGGAAAATTAGTATTTTCTTCAGTTGTCTGACATAATCTATATTAATCTAATAAGAATAAGAATAAAATTCAATGGAAGCTAACTAGAAAACCAAACGGTTCATTTAGCTTTCAAGCTCTAAAAATGTTATTTAAAATATAAATTCTATCTATGTACCAATTATTTAAGAATTGTGTATTATTTATGTATTTCTATCTAAGAGTGAAATAAAATTGTATTGTATTGTATTGTATTGTATTGTATTGTAACTAATTAATGAATTTTCAAAGCGATTCCCAGCAGCCTTTCGCGCTCGTATTCGACTTTTCCGCTTTGCTCGTGGACAACCTTAATTGAAATAGCTGTATACAATATTATTATATACACAAGGTCTGGATATGAGGTATTCTGCAATCTGATTGGTTCTCTACTAGTAGGATATTAGCTCATATCCTGCTAGTAGAGAAAAACAAAATGGCGGCTAAAACTGAATTTCCGCCTTTTCGGAACGAGAAAACGGCAAGTTGTTCGCTTTTTATAGCCTTTACAAGATTAAAAACACAAGGAAAATCTCCAACAAATTGTTTACAGTTTAGCAAATTAATTTTTAAAATTTAAAATGGTTAAAAATATATATTTTTGAAAAAAATACTCGGCCGAAAGAGCGAAGATAAAAACATAAACAAAATAGAAAAATATTGAAAATATCCGAAAAGCAAAGTCTGTGAATTCAGACCTTGTGTATATAATAAAACAGTTATTCCACTCACTCTCGTCGAATATGAGCGATAGCTCATATTCGACTCGCTCATATTCGATTCGAGTTGTTGTGGAAACCCCGCTAGTATATAGGTCTTCCACGCTCGCTTAACTTGGGACTGTATTCTATTCTTCATTCAATCGTGACAACCAGTAAATTTCACACAACTTAGCTTTATTTCAGATACGTACTACGACAATGACTATAACAACTACCTACAATCTACATACACGGTTATATATAATACATTTTAAAGGAAGAAATATCTAACTGATGACGTTAAAGGAAGAACATACCAAGCGTTCATACGCCTACGGCAAGAACATTCTTTTCTCATTTTAACGTAATTTGGACCTACAGGAACTTAATTTGCATTTATTGCGTTCGAAAGAAGAACATGTCAACATTTAATGCGTAAGCTTGTTACAAATTTGCCCTTGACTGATAATGATATATAACTTCTACAGTATATTGTTGCAATATATATATATACTTATGAACTTAACAAATTGCGCAACACTCTCCCCCCGATTGACTTGTTTACGAGTCAAGCATAATCCTAGTTTTACAGCCTGAGTCTAAAGCCGCGCTTCGCTTAGGCAAATTCCTGACCACCTTATTTTTGTCTTCATGCACTGGTACGCTCGCTCCCAACTTACCATCTTCGCTGCTGCTCCTAATTTCTAAAGGATACAATTTTTGCACGGGTCTAGACAAATGAACCGGCTTACCACTGGTAATAACCCGTAGCTTCGCACCTCTTACGACAACATCCTTGCCTTTAATCAATCCTTCTACGACACCTAACTTCCACTTATTCCTTTTCACATCCTCCTCAAAAACAGTAACCACATCTCCCACGTTTACCTTGGCGACACCATGATCATCCGCCCTCAGCTTGTGATATTCCCTCAAGTTAACTAAATATTCTCGTCTCCACCTTTTCCAAAAGTGCTTCAGCCTCGTTGTCAGATACCTAAATCGTTCGTCACATGTACTTTTATTTGCGTAATCGTCAGGTTCAACAATCTCGTCTGGCATACCCTTTATGCGTCTACCGTAAATCAAATGAGACGGAGTCAAAACATCTTCGCCTGGTTCATCGTATTGGTATGTCAGTGGTCTACAGTTTATAGTCGTCTCTATCTCTGCTAAAATTGTTCTTAGTTCGTCAAATGTTAATCTAGCGCTTCCTAGTACCTTCCTAAGACAAACTTTCACATTTCTCACCATTCGCTCAAAAAATCCTCCCCACCACGGCGCTCTCTCTAAATTGAATTTCCATTCTATCCTTCGTACCTCTAAATCTGACTTCACTTCTGGGTGATCAAATAAATGCTTCAGTGTCTTTTCTACTGCTTTAAACGTTTTAGCGTTATCCGACACGATTATAGATGGATTTCCCCGCGCTGCAGTGAATCGTCTCAGACATCTTCTAAAAGTTTGGGCAGACAAGTCTTCAACTAATTCTAAATGGAGTGCTCTAGTTACGCAACATGAAAATAACGCTATGTAAACCTTTCGCATACTTTTGCCTTGCTTAACATACAAGGGACCTGCAAAGTCTACACCTACCTTGTCGAATGGAGGTGACTGTTTTACGCGAAATTCTGGCAAAGCTGCAGCTTCTGGAGCCTTGTACGGTTTACCCGTCAATTTCTTACATACAGTACACTTGCTTAACAACTTTTTCACATATTGCCTCCCCTTTGGGACCCAAAACTTACTTCGGACCTCTGCTAATGTGGCTCTCACACCACCGTGATGTACTTTACGGTGGCTTTCCTCTACAATAAGTCGTGTCAAATGATGGTTTCTTGGTAAAATAATCGGTTTTTTACTATCAATATCTAAATCGGAATTTAACAATCTACCTTGACAGCGCAATATTCCTTCTTCGGTTTTTAACCCTAAATTTTTTACTAATTGCCGAAAATTAGACTGACCTTTTAACTCAATTTGCGCTGAAATAATTAATTTCTTCTCAGAATCAAGTAATTCTTCGACGCTTAAAATCCCTGTTTTTCTCGTTGTTTTTGTGGTCAAAGCTTTCATATTACTAACAAATCGCATCACCCATGCATTGATTCGTACAACTTTCTCAAAACTGCTAGATTTAGAAACATCTAAAACTGTGCCTACGTTAGGTTCTGCAATAACTGTCAGTATGGTGGCGTGCCTTTTTTCTTCCTGAATACTTTCTGGGGTTGTTTGCTCCTCATGCACTGATGTGGGCCAATTTTTCTCATCTTGCAAAAGCCAAGCTGGGCCTTCCCACCATTTTCTAGACTCTTTTAAATTAGTCGCAGTGGTTCCTCGGGATCCTATATCAGCTGGGTTTTCCTCTCCCGGGCAATGTCCCCATTCTGCCTTATCCGTTAAACGTAGGATTTCATTGACCCTGTGCTGGACAAATTGCTTCCACTCGCCTTTGTTTCGAATCCAACATAAGGCAGTTTTACTATCCAGCCAAAATTTCCTACCACTCAAACTTAACTGAGACTCCAAGGCCTTTCCCACAGAATTCATTAGTTGTGCTAATATTCTAGCTGACATGAGCTCCAACCTGGGGATGGTTAATGTTTTCAAAGGCGCCACCCTTGATTTACTCGCTAACATTCGTACCCTGCGAGATCCGTCTTGTGTTTTATAAACTAAGTATACCACAGCGCTATACGCTGCCTTACTGGCATCTCCAAACCCATGAAGAAAACATTCTATTACATGCTTGTCTGATTTTTCATAAACACACCTGGGAATTTTTATTTCCCTGGCTCTATTTAAATCGTCAACCCAATTTTCCCACTTAGTTTTAGCTTCCCCGCTTAGCTCGTCATCCCAATCTAACTTAGCACAACACAATTGCTGAAAAAGTATTTTCATGCTTACTGTAACCGGACTATAGTATCCTAAGGGGTCATAAAGACATGCCAATAAACTTAACATTGTACGTTTCGTTGATGGTGCATTCACGGCTCTTCTACTTACAATTGTAAGATCGAAACTGAGCATGTCGGTTTCGCAATTCCAAGCTAATCCTAAAATCTTTTGTCCTATTAGACTCCCATGCACAGCTAAGGACGTTTTAGCAAAGGTTTCCTCAGCATTTCCGCCCACGCAATCATGTTTTGCGTCACTACCTATCGATATCTTATCTCTTAATTGCGCGTCATTCGTCAACCACTTACGCAAATTAAATCCGCCTTGCGCCATCCTTTCGCTAGCCTTTTGAAATAGCGCATAGGCCTCAGTGCTCGAATTTTCACCTGAAACTAAATCGTCAACATAAAAACTCTCTAACATTTTCTTAACAAACGCTGGATCTTCTTTCTCATACTTAGACAAATGATGCCTTAGTGTTCCGTTAAGCAAAAATGGCGAAGCGTTTACTCCGAAAACAACTCTACAAAAGCGATAAACACTTACCTCTGACTTGCTGTCGTTTGGAACATCTGGCCATAAAAACCTTAAACAATCGCGATCGTCTTTGTCTACTCCGACATTCAAAAATGCTTTTTCAATATCCGCGACTAAAGCTACCCTATTTACCCTAAATCGCAATAATATGTCTATCAATAATGGGTTAAGTGAGGGACCTATATGCAAACAATCATTTAAAGAAGTGTTACTTTTTAAATCCTTTGCTGAAGCGTCGTAAACTACCCTAACCTTTGTAGTCTGCGCGTTCTGTCTCACTACTGCCTGATGTGGTAAATAGTGAACTTTCTCAGCTGTATCTAATTCTGGCACTCGCTCAATCACACCTGCATCTAATTGCTGTTTAATTATGTTATCATACTCTACCAAAATATCTGGTTGCTTTCTTAACCTCTTGACTTGGCTTTTCATTCTAGATAAGCTGAGTTCATAGTTAGTTGGTAATGTTGCATGGCCTACTTTCCATGGTAGTTTAACAGAATATCTCACACCATCAAATCTTATGCTATCCCCAAACGCCTCGTAAACCTCGTCCGTCTCCTTAATACCCAAACTATCCAAATCCCACAATCTATGCACCGCATCATCCAAAGTAACGTTCCCAACATGTGCTATACCACCCATGCTTGTTGAAGCAACAAAACTCACCAATGTCCCATCATTGTCATCCCCACGTTTCCCCTTCAACGGTCCAGACAACACAAACCCTAATTCGGTCTCTAACGCTACGGGTTCATCGGGCTCCCCCCTTACTATACGACCGCGCTGGAAATTCCACAAATTATCCGAACCTATAAGCAAATCTATCTCTAACTCATGCGCGCTTTTGTTAACGTCTGAAAACCAAAGGTCCTTCAGATGAGGAAAATTGTGCTTGACAACCTCAATGTGCTCATTCCTTACGCGTGAAATTACCGGCACCACGTAAGCCTCGAGAGTGAGCACCTTGCCACTACCTAGAGGGTTTACGTCAACGCGAACAACTTCCCTAACTTCCGTCTCCTTGGCTTTCTGGCCGAACGTGCTTAAGCCTAACAATTCCTTGCGCAGAACCTTTAACCCCGCTAGATTCGCAGTTTTAGCGGTAACATATGACTTGTGGCTGCCTGAATCGAAGAGTGCCCTTACGCGGCGCTGCCTTTCGCCCTTAACTAACGCTTGTGCCGCTTGCAACGCAATCCTACAACTAGTACCTACAAATGTCATATTACTTGGGTTTACTACATCCTTGGGGCCCTCATGCTGGTTTTTACCCTCCTTATCGTCGTCCCGTTCAGTGTTTTTCTTCTCACACAAAGCTGTGTGATGTTGTCCCTTACAACTATTGCAAACTACTTTATTCATGCAATTTCTGGCCAAGTGACCCTTATCTAAACCATTAAAGCATCTAGAATATTTTCGTAAAATACTCTTACGTTCTCTGGTGTCCTTCACCTTCTGGCAAGCTTCATGGTTGTGACTTCCTCGGCAAAATGCACAAACTCCCTTTCCCCAGCCAGCAAACAGAGCAGAGTTCGTATATACATTTGTTTCTCGTTTTCCATACCCAGACTGGCGTCCATCGTTAGGGACAAGGACTACAGCTTCTTCTCGTAACTCCAATTCAACGCGAAATTGGTCCAACAAGTCTGTCATTGTCCAGTTTTTAAAATCCGCACCCCTGGTGATGGTCAATCGTACGCTTTCTGGCAACTTTTCGAGAAGAGAAGGCACAGCAATACTCGAATACGTAGCTTCGCCCACTTTCAACGCAACTAATCCTCTATAATGGCATTCTATTTTGTCATATAACGCTCTCAACCTCCCCGTCTCTCGCTCCTTGTACACTCCCTGTAGATTTAATAGCTCGTTAATATGAGCTCTTTGTATTGTGACAGGTTTCCCAAATCTCCGTTTTAAAAGCTCCACAGCAGATCCATAATTCGCGGCAGTCAAAGAAAATCCACTGATTGCTGACTTCGCTGGCTCTTCAACAAGTCCTTTCAAATAAGAGAATTTATCGACGTCTGACAACCCGACATTCGTGTGAATTGAACTCTCAAATGCATCCCAGAACTCTTGCCACTCGAAAACGCTTCCCTTAAACTTTTTTACCTCGAGTTTAGGCGGTTTCACACGTACACTTCCACTCGTTTGTTGTACAGGCTGCGTTGGTGATGTCGATATCGTCGTCTCTTCGAAGTTCTCAACTGACGAGGATTCCGTCGCAATATTTCCACCGTTGGCAACGTTTGTACTGGCCACGTCACTGACCGTTCCTGCTATATTAACTACGCTAGTAACGCTACCCGATGACACTTCATTTAGCTTCATTTCTGCAAGATGAACTACCTTTCGATACTTTAACTGGCAGTCGCTCGCATCAGACAGTTCCTGCCCGAACTCCCCTTCGTCAATTTCCTTCGAATCCTCCATTAATTTTAACACAGAATCATCGAGAGCCTTGAGAACGTCCACTTTCGCGATTAAGGCGTCCTTCAACTGCTCTAACTCGTAACGATTCTCATTCGCATCATTCTCCAATATTCCTTGGATCTCTCCAATCAGCTTTTTTGCGTGTCCTCGATGTCCTCCACGTATCTTTTTCTGCTTCGCTAAATCCGTCATATTTACCTGGTTGTACTCTTCTAGTTCACTATCCGGCTCGAAGGACCACTATGTTGTGGAAACCCCGCTAGTATATAGGTCTTCCATGCTCGCTTAACTTGGGACTGTATTCTATTCTTCATTCAATCGTGACAACCAGTAAATTTCACACAACTTTATTTCAGATACGTACTACGACAATGACTATAACAACTACCTACAATCTACATACACGGTTATATATATAATACATTTTAAAGGAAGAAATATCTAACTGATGACGTTAAAGGAAGAACATACCAAGCGTTCATACGCCTACGGCAAGAACATTCTTTTCTCATTTTAACCTAATTTGGACCTACAGGAACTTAATTTGCATTTATTGCGTTCGAAAGAAGAACATGTCAACATTTAATGTGTAAGCTTGTTACAAATTTGCCCTTGACTGATAATGATATATAACTTCTACAGTATATTGTTGCTATATATATCTATACTTATGAACTTAACAAATTGCACAACACACATACAGTTTCGATTGCTCTCACCTGTGTTGAGGCAAACCGTTTTCATTAGTTGAGCATGGTTAGCGCTGGCAATTTTGTTGGTGATTGCGTTTCGGATGGATGCGAATGAGTAAACTAGCACATGTCATTCATTCGATTGCATTTGCCAGGGGGGAGGGGGAGTCGCCGGTGGAATTGCTAGTGTGAACCAGACTTTATGTCAATACATATCCTACGATTGTTATGTTGAATGTCAATAAAGCTGAATATTGGCCCCAGCCAGACTTTAGCCTTTTTTCCTTTTGCATTGTTTGTAGCTGCCGAATTTAAAGGGCCACAAGTTATTAGCTGTTAGCTATTATGTATATATTACCTATTTTGAAATAAAGATTGTACTTTTACTTATTAACCCATGAACGTGTCATTTCTTCACCGTGTTAATTAATAGGCTCAAGCCGGTATGGGAAGTATTGTCGGCATATATTAAAGTTATGATTAGAATATAAAGATTTTTAGATAAGTACATTTCGAGTTACGTTGTTGGTATTTGTGGCTTTTAATCATTCCGGAGGTTTATCTCGCGTGTTGCAGGCAGCAGGGCGTAAATGCGTACCCCCGTTTGTGTCTGGTCTCGCTTTTCTTTAGTTTGACATGCAGCCCGAATGTGCCTGTGACCATGGGTAGTTAATTAAACATTGTTTGCAGTCTGCTATCGCATGCCTGGTTGCTTTGTGTTTTGTGTGTGAGATGTGGTGCTTGTTTTTGTTGTTTTCGGTTTTTGGGGGGGTTCCCCCCCCCCCATCTGTTTTGCCCCAAAGAATGATGAGTATTGTTTTTGTTGTTATTGTGCCCATCAGGCTCTAGCACTACCAAGGTTATATATGCCCAGGGCGTTTTTTCTGGGCAGGCACTGAACAAAGGAGCTGTCCACCGTTGCTTAATGGGGCAAGTGGAGAGGAGTGCTATTACCAAACAGTGTGAAGCCAAACGCGACTGAAGTTACAAGGTAATTCAATTTTACATTATTAGTATTTACCTCCCTTTTAAAAGTTTCAACAAATGCGAGATTTTCACAAAACGTTAATTTATCATTTAGGTTAAGAAAGAATTTGGACAAAACGTGGATAGAAACAGATGAGAAAGCAGTAGAGGATGTCACCAAAACAATAAAATCAATGATGAAATCCTTTTGTGAATGAGCATGATGAACTGGTACATTTGGCAAGCATAACTATTGCCCTTCTTGCAGTTGCGGAAGACATGAAACTATGTCCAAGATGCACATCATTGGATCTGAACCAAACATATATTCAATGTTAAAGAAAACAAAGTTGCAAACATATTCCGTTGTTGGTAAGGTCACGAGCAAAAGCAAGAAAGGAGAACTTTTGGCTATGAAGAACACCCAAAACTCTATTCGCTAAAATGCTCTAATTGCAAAAAGTAGAGAATTACAGATGGAGGAAGTATTGAAGTATTCTCTCCGCCCATTCCCTAGTTCATTGGCAAAAAGTGAAGGAGACCTTGTTAAAACTGCCAAATCAAAATTACTCCACAAGATTGAAGAAGATGTTCCGGGTGCTTGTGTCGACCTTCCGGCTGTTGAAAATAAGGCATGCATTCTTGATGCAATGGCGGTATTGCAAACATTGACTGTCATTCCAGCAACATTTGGTGAACTTGCAACCAATTTACTAACGAAGGTTGTCAACGCTGCAATTTTTTCCAAATGCAAACAGGGTGGATTTCGTCTGCAACTGATATCCACGTCAAAGTATTAAGAATCTGGTGAGAGTCAGACGAGCCATGAGCGGTGCCCAGGTGATACGCATATTTAGTGAGCAGCAAAAAGTTCCTCATCAGTGGAAGAAATTTATGTCTTCAGGTGATAACAAAGAAGAATTGATGAAATTTATTTTTAGTACCTGGAGGAAGGCAGATCTGCAATTATTGTCACAGATTTTTTTATTCAAATGGGGAGATGATCTTCCGATCTCTGAAATCGGCGAACTTTACTGTGACCACGAAGAGGCGGATACGCGGATGATGATTGTTCACACAATGCATCCTTCTCTGGCATATCGCACCATCATCACCAAGAGTCCAGATACTGACGTGCTTTTGATCGCACCTAACGCTTGCTTAGGCACTGATGCTAATATCATGTTTGAAACTGGTGTAGGAACCGGAAGACAGATTATTTCCCTCACCAAGATTAGACATTGTCTTGGAGATCAATGGTGTTGCTCGCTAATCGGTCTACATGCAATTACAAGTTTGTTGTTCTGTAGTATTTAAAGCATAAGCCGAATATTAACATCTTGAAATTCATGGTATGAGTTAAAACAAGACAAGAATGAGATGTTAATATCCGTATTGTTTCGATTTAAATTTATTGAAATTGTCTGCTGGTATTGGTTTAGAGCACTTACTTACGGTTTCATTTTTACAGGTTCTGATACCACGAGTGTTTTCTATGGCAAAGGCAAAGTAACAGCACTGAAAATCGCGAAAGAGAAGGAGGAATACGCAAATGTTTTTGGAGTCATGGGTAGAGAAATTGCATCATCGGCTGAACTAAAAAGTTAAATTGTATAGTTTTGTATGTCACTTATATGGTTTTGAAGAGTGTTCCGACGTCAACGCTGTTCGATATCAAGTGTTCAAAAGTGGAAAATATGATGAGGAACTTTTGCCACCGAACCAGGATTCACTTGATCAGCATATCAGTCGAGGAAACTATCAATGTTATATCTGGAGACATGCAGTGCAACCCTGTCTTGAACCTGCCGTTATTCTGTAGATGATGTTGGAAACGTTTTGGTCAAGTGGATGAATATTGCCCCTGCTCCTGAATCACTCCTCGAATTTGTTAATTGCAAATGTCAAAAAGGCTATGAAACCAAAAGATGCTTGTGTGTAAAAGCAGAAGTGCTCAGATTTATGTAAATGCGTAGGTTGCAAGAACAACAATGGAAACAAGGAAGACATTGATTGTGATTCTGACACTTATGATTCGCAAGATGATTTCAGCTCAAGTGAAAATAGTGAGAATGAATACTGGATCTTCCTGGAAATTCATTTTTCGTACGTAGAACAGATGTTCTGACACACTCATAACATGTGACAAGCACGCGTTTCGGATCACTACTCCACTAGTTGAAATGCGAATTATTCTGGTTCATTCCTTTCCAACAAACTGTTGGGAACCCCCTTAATCACTATTCTATTTTACTTATTTCCTATATCTCATCATTCAACATGACAATTATCACGCGAATCGGGGGATTGTACAGAATAAACATTCTTTCGAGTGATGGGATGTATCGAGGACAAAATTCCAAATGGCAGAAACCTGTCAAAACTTTGTTGAAGTATTGAAAATATACATGAATTTTGCAGAAAACCTGCAGGTTTACGGCGCAGGAAGTCTTTGGATTCAGATGTTCGAAAGTGGTAAGTTACGTAAAAATATTTCAGTTCCACAACATGCCTAATGAAAATCGTTTTCTAGGCACATGTTTCTGCCACAGCAAATGGCCTAGAAGTCACAATCCAGGATCCGAACTAAATTGCAAGCTAAATCCACAATCCAAGCCAAAATATTAGATAAATCCACAATCTGCTGTTTTAATAAGATCCGCAAATCTGTGTAAAATATTCTCCAGATCCGAACAATTTTTCATGACGAGAAAATGTGGACACAAGTGGGAGGAGTTAAGTGTCTGACTTTCATGGGGCATACATGAAGTATGCTACTCAGGCATGTTAATGCCTGGGTCTGCCCACGCTTGGATAATATCTTGCGTGCATGTTGCACGCGCGATCTGTCAGTAACTCGTCTGTTAGAATATTCACCCCTTGTGTGAGTATTTTAGTGAATTCGGGCGTTTGCTTCAAATCAAAATATAGTATATATGAGCGACAGGATTATTTTGGAATATACAATGCAAAGAAGTCGGTATACTATTCAGTTTTGATGTAATAATTGGCTCTTTGTATAGCAATAAGTATTGTATCATTGCGACAGCTGACCTTTGAACTGCTGATAAATAAAAGCTTCTTATAGTGCGCTCTCTTGCGATTATTCAGTATTAATTGTTGACTGTTTCTTATTTTCAATGAAAAATTGCTTGTGAATTACAAATTAATAGCACATATAGTTCACTCGGTCTTTTCCACCATGGCATACTTCCCTTCAAGCATTAACTATGCTTCAAGATATCGGCTTGAATGTGCAATGAATGTTATTGGAAATATAATATCCCTTTACAATAAGCGGCAGACTGTTTCATTATGGCGCGTGAAATTCATCACGCGAAAAACACGTTCGACTTGCAGCAGGGTAATTTGACGATTTATTCAATAAACAGTGATATTATGTGTGAATGATTATCGCAATTCTGCGTCCTCTCAGTCACGAATTGTACTGCTGCAGAGCCTCTGAATAAAACGTATCATTTTTTGTGTTTGTTTTTCGAAATATACATCATGTGATCGTTGCCATGACAACGAAAAGTAGGTCAACTTTTAGAATCTCCTTTGATAAATCATATAAAACTTGAATGGTAATAATGAAGGCCATATTTATTTTTTTATGATTTTTTGTCTATTTTCGCTAAATACACAAACTGAGACCCAGGCATTAATGTACCTGAGTAGAACTCAGCTAAAATTTTCCAAGATGGCGGCCAAGAGAAGCGTGCGTAGTCCTGGGTTTTTCTGTGCATTAAATATGCTATCTACCACAGATTTTTGCCTGCCAAGCAAGAAAAAGGGGCTAGAAGGCGGCAGACTCTATTCAGTTGAAAGATTTGTCGCTTTTCGAAAATTGAAAGAGGTACAAAGTGCCGTTACTGCTGTGTATTGTTTATTATTTATAGAAATATTTATACAATATACTTTTGGCTCAATAGTTGAAGCTTCAAATATAGTAAGTTTAATATTATCAGTGTTTTAAAATTTAAGGGTAAAGAATACTTGGTGAAATGGCTGGATTATAGCTCATTTGAGTCGTCATGGGAGCCACCGGAACACCTAACTGATGAATGCATCAGACAAGTACTTAAATAAAATTCTGAATATTCATTCTGCAAATATTAATTAAAATAACTTATTACCCTTATGATTGCCCAGGATTATGGCAGATTAACTTGCTTAAATTTCGAATATGCTGTCTGTATGCTCGCAAATATATATCTTTTATTTACTGTAAATCTGAATTTTGCTACTGTAGGTACTTCAATGAGCCCACCCCTCCAAAAATGTGGTATTGGCAGAAGTAGCTTGACTCTGTAATAAATATCGTAAATCGCTTATAAATCGCTTGTAACAACCTATTTATAGCTAATTAAAGCATAATGTCCCTGTCTGCTAATGTAAACGATATATTAAAATGTTAATAATTACTCTGTTCATAACACTCCCCAGCGTTGAGCCGTACACAGTGCACAACAATACTCCCCAGAATAATCGTAAACTACAAATATGAAAGTTTCACGAACTACAGTCTGTTTAACTGTTCGCATAATTGGTTTCTCAAATCATTAATTAACGGATAATATTTATGTCTTCCTTTGAAATTCTTTCATCTGTTCCAATCTTCGCAACTCACCCACTACATATTCTCCTTGCATATTCTCCGTGTTCCAGCAGCTCGTTTAACTTTAAGTTCGTTGACAAACCTTAACACGTACGCTGTTACACGCAACAGCTTAGCGAAACTGCTGAAACGGTCACAATTTATGATGTCGTTCAGATTCAATTCAGCTGATTCTTCTTCTTTCGTACTGACGAGTGAATGAATAACAGTCTGCGGTTTCGTTCAAGGCTGTGTCATCCAGGGCGCTCGCTGCTGGATCCTTCGGCCACTCGCACTGAGGCTTGTAAAGATACTCTGGTCCACTCCACCACACCGCGAACGAGATCACATGCTTGTATCC